GGAGAATGAAACATCTGCAGGGCTTCCAAATTCAAATTAACCCATCGTCCATCTATTAAAGGAATGACTTGATTGCAAGACAAAAATGAAAATACGGGCCTAAGAGCATCCAAGGATAATCTTAAGGTTTGTTTCCTCCCCCCCCCCACCACGGGTGTGTTTGAATCCTCCATCTAACACTGGTAGTCCTGGACTTACAACTGTCCATTTAGTGACCGTTCAGAGTTACGACAGCACGGACAAAAGCGACTTATGAGTGTTTTTGACACTTAACGACCATTGCATTCCCTGGATTACCTCATTCAAATTCGGACGCTTGGCAACTGGTTCGTATTTACGACGGTCCCAGGTGTGTGTGTGTGTGTGTGTGTGTTTGTGACATGATCCCCTTCTGAGACAAAGGGGGAAGCCTGATTCACTGAACGTCCTCATTGCTAACGGACCCACCGCCGTGTCCGCTTAACAACGGTGGCCGGAAAGAGGGCAAAGCTCGCCGACGTCTCGCTTCGCGACGTTTGGACTTGGGTGGCGGTCGCGAAGTCGAGGAGGAGGACGCGCGCGGCCTTATTTGCATGGCGGTAGAAGAAAGAACCAGCCCAGTTAAAAAATAAAAAGAAAAGCATTTACTTGGTCAACAAAAATAAATACAAGATATTAAGACATTCGGAATGAGGCAGAGAGAAGAATTACAATTACAGAGAGGAAGGGGAGGGGGACACAGTTTACACAGGCTGCCTTGGCGTAATCCTGGGGGGAGGGGAGGCGGGGGGGGGGGACAAGAAACTCGGTTTTGGCACAAAGCAGGACCCCTCTTGTTAAGGCAGCTACGATGCCCCCTCAAACGGCAAGCCCAAGGAGAGAATGAAAGCGAGACAAAATATGTGCCTATCTATGTGCCTACCGACACCACAATCTGTTTATAATGTATAGCTTTAGGGTGGGGAGATGCGCGTATATAGGGTAGCCGGGAATCCACTAATAAGTTGCACCGATAAAGAAGGGTAATTTGTAGCTCGGGGTTGAAATGAGGAGTCCGTGGTGCTCTCCGAACTTGGCGGCTTTCTTGCAGGCGTTTCGTGACCCAACTAGGTAACATCATCAGTGCTAGAAGGGAGTAGGGTGTGTGGAGAGGAGGAGGAGAAGGACTGTGGGGTCCTTGGTGCTCTCTGAGCTTGGTGGTTTTCTTGCAGACGTTTCATGGCCCAACTAGGTAACATCATCAGTGCTAGAAGGGAGTCGGGTTTGTGGAGAGGAGAAGGACTGTGGGGTCCTTGGTCCTCTCTAAGCTTGGTGGTTTTCTTGCAGACGTTTCATGGCCCAACTAGGTAACATCATCAGTGCTAGAAGGGAGTCGGGTTTGTGGAGAGGAGAAGGACTGTGGGGTCCTTGGTCCTCTCTAAGCTTGGTGGTTTTCTTGCAGACGTTTCATGGCCCAACTAGGTAACATCATCAGTGCTAGAAGGGA